TTAAGTAACAAGTAAACAAAATTCAACCATCGAGTTATCAATATGAGAAATGTACTCCTATTATATAATTTAACCAAGTACTTGAATATAACTGCCATTTGCAACAGAAAAATATTTGACTTGTATTTGACACACATTGCATATGAGTATGAAGTGGGTAAAAAGTATATATATATATATTTATTTATTTATTTATAATTCCTAAATTGTGACATGATACCATATCCTTATTAATTATTTGGTTTAGGGTATCAATTTTGTAATATTAGATAGGATGGAAAATATAATTAGGGCTGGCATGAGGTATATATAAGAAATTATTAATTTTAGAATTAATTTTATGATAAGTTTATCTTATTTTTTATTGGGATAAAAGTATAGAATAATTCATTTGAAATTATAATAGTATTTCTATCTCATATTAAAAATGAAATATAAAAAACTCGGAATAACTTTTCCCAACCAAACCTGGACATATAAAGAATTTTTGGCGTTGTGAGAGATTTGAGATTCCGTAAGTAGGGGTGGGCATAAATATCAGAAAATAAAAAATTGGACCGAACCAAGGCATTTTCATCCTTATTTTTCTTGGAAAGTAGTTGGAGGCCACAACGTTCTTGATAAAGACAAATATAGTCTTTTAAGCATAACAAGTGTTCAATGGTGAGATACATTATCACTTAACATGCCTTTAAATTTTTAAATATCTTATACTTGATATCCTCATTTTATCTTTTATTCGTACCGAAAAAATATTTTAAAAATACCTAACTGATCAAACCAAACTAGTTCGACTCGATATTCAATTCACACTTTTTTAAAAACAAAAAACTAAATCAAAATTCGATATAACCGAACTAAAGAACCGAACATCTATTCCTATCCCTAAGTAACTCAGTGGAGCCCTTAGTACTACACTAGGTGATGGCTAATAATATTTGATAGTACCATTTGTAGTAGTACAATGAGTGTGTGTAACCAAACAAGAAAAAAAATTGACCTTACCTTAGTAGTACGTCAACGTCACCAAGAAGAAATTACAATGCCTTTAAATTTTTACTTTATTTTTTTGGAAAATAACCTTTTGAATTTATTTTTTCTTCATGTGCTTAATTAGGTTAGTTATTTAATCTAAGAATTATTATTCTTAATCCACCAATCAAACGCCGTTAATAACATAAAAATTCATTTTAAAAATGATTTATTAATTTTCTAAAACTTGTCTACTCCAAAGGGTCATAGTACAGTAGTAGTACAATTATATTTATTTTTTTGTACGTTCTATTTTAAAAGTGTGTGTCTCTAACATTTTTGTGTTCAATAAAAGGAATCAAAATTGCATTTACACAAATCTAAGTTGAAGCACAAGAAGAAGAAGATGGTAGTTTGTTGGTGATTGTGGTTCCAAAATTGTTGTTGGTTATCCCTTTCTATTAGCCTGATATTTCATCTGTTTCAATTTGTTTGTTATACTTTTTTTTATAGTCTGTTTCGACATTTATCAATTTAAATTTTGAATTCGCCTCTATGTAACGTAGATATATTAGACACAACATTCCAATCTTGGAACCACAGTTACCACCATACTATCAAATTTCTCAGCCAAGATTCATTAATCAATTGGGAGGTTTGAACACATTTCTCTCTCTATCATAATTTATAACAATTCTTCTCTTTTGTCTAGCCAAGGCTAGTATGGTCAGTTTCTATAATATTCATCCTCTATAATAACATTTTAATTTAATAGTCTAAATTTTTGTATTATGTTAAATTATATATTCTTTATAATTAACAATATCTCATTGTAACAGTAAAATTATATCCAGACAAATTGTGTCATTATAGTGAAGTTTGATTGTATTCTATTATGTGTAATGGTAATAGTTTTTTTTTATTCATTGTTCGTTATTTGCATTAAAATTATTCAAATAGTGTGTTTAACAGGTTTGGCTATAAAAGGAGCGGTCATTTTTTTCCTTTTAAAGAAAATAGAGCTATCCTATCATTTGCCTTCCTCAGATGAGACCCTCATTACTAGGGATGAATCAAATCCACATATTGCACGTTGTTGGACCTTCTTTAGCACCAATTGGCAGGCCCATTCTGAAGAAAACATGCCCAACATAATTTTTATTGTATTGCAGGACTCATTCTGAAGACAACGCTTCCAACAGATTTTTTTCTATACCAAGACTCAATTTTGATGTTTCCTACTTTATGTACTGTGAGTCACTGGACATTTGGAAGTCTGACCAAGTTCCTTCAAAGGTTGACCAAATCTAAACTCAACTTTTTTTTTCATACATATTATATTTATCTGTTATTTTTAATTTAAACGATTGAATCGACAATTATCATAAATAAATTAAATTAAGTAACAAAACTAAGAGATAGATTTCACTAACAATACTCAACGATGTATAAATTTCTTACATTAACGATATATATAACTCAAACTCGCTAAAAATTGTACTTAATCTCCATAGTTAGGGTAAAATAGGTTGTCAAAAGAAGGCAACTCTAATTTCAATAAGTTATCAAGATTAGTACTAGGATTATTAGACTTAAACTTTGACATTTTCACATGATCAGGCTCCACTGATCCTGCATCCTTGCCTGTTAGTTTCTGAACTATTGATTTGAAATTCCTTGCATCTGTCTCGATATACTCCGTGTTGATTATCACCACCTTCACCTTATCCCTGTCGTTTCTGTCTGTTGACATGTTCTCTGTACTTCTGAATTAGTCAAGACAGTAAATTTTGAATAGTTGAGATTCTTCTTATAAGCGTAATGATATAATTAAGCTTTATCTGACTGTGAGATCGAATAAAGACAAAAGTCAATCACTCATTTGCGAACTATCTTATCTCAAAATATAGAAATATCGAAAACGAAGAATTCAATCTAGGATTTTTGGAAATATGGTTATGAGGAAAGAAAAAGAGTGGTTGGTGTTAGTTGTAATTGAGGATAAGTGATTTATATGTACATATTTATAGAAGGAGCACTAGTACTTTGAAATTAAAAAGATTTGAGATAGGTGAATATGTTAAAAGGAAGAGTTGACTGTCTAAATAAATTGAAGCAGTCAACAAGGACCAAAGATAAAGTCAAAGAATGCAATTGAGAAATAAAGTTGCGATCCAACCAATTCAGAATTTAAAATTTATAAATTAATATCAAATTAATATTATAATAATAATTAAATTCATAATCAAATTTATTGATATTTAATACATTTTTATAAATATACATAAATAGATAGAAATGATTTGGACAAAAATTACTGAGTTGACGTGAACCCGTAAAACATATGCACATAGCAGGAAATTGCGTTTGGTTTGATTGAACAAGTTGCCAACATACATGGAGCTAAACAAATAGGAGTACTTTAATCTCTTTTTTTTTCCTCTTCCGTTTGAATTTACATGATATTATTTAATTTAATATGAAATTTAAAAAAATATTTTTTTTGAAATTTGTGGTTAAAACAAATCATAGATGTCTATGTGATTATAATTTATTCTATTAACGATAACATTAATATTTTAAAATCAAATTATTACTAAAAAAAATGTGTCATATTTTTTTAGATTTGAACAAGAAAATTAGAACAATTCTTTTTCTCAAACCTAAACTAAAACGGAAATATGAGTCATATATAGTCAAAACAAATTACATTTGAGTAATCCAAATAGAAATAGTATAAAATTAATCATCCTTTTGTTATTATACTATATAGTACACAAATGTTCAACCCTTTTTTGGAGTTTGAAGGTAATTTTATTTAATTAACCTAACAATTTTGACTAGTAGATCCTTGACCATACCCAATATAAAAGAATTTCGGTTACCATTTGATATTTAATATTCATTTTAAGCTTTGATTAATCTAAATTCATGTCAGAAAATTTAACTTTAATGAATGAAGTGCTTTCTATCAACTTTATATTCAAATTTCAACCCAAAATCTCTAATATAAATTGAAGAATTACATATCACTCGACCACAATTTATAAAACAAAACATGACACACTACCTCGTTTGAATTAAGACCACAAAATATATGTGGTGTGAATAGGTACACATCACTCCATCGTAAACATTAAAATGCTCCCTTATTCAAATGTCTGTCCATTAAGATTAAGTTATTAACTCTAAAAAATTTCAAATGTGTTACATTAATTGAAATAAAAAAATTATTAAAAAGTAGAAGTATGATAAGAAAAGGATTACTCGAATGATCAACACCCTCCACATCTAATCTCAATTATTTGAAATTTTTGTATAGTAAAGTGTAATTAATTGACAAGAGGGGTCAACAACAAGGACAATATTCAATATTTCCACCTTTTAGATAATTCAATAATGTTGACTATGTTAGCTTCCTGGTTCCAAGTTAATCAACGTATTCATATTTTAATGAAAACAATATTAACCTTATTAAAAATAGGTATACTTTTGAACAAATAACTATCAAGAAATATATTAAATAAACCACAATCTTTTGGGCTACCATTTCTTGGAATGTTCCATCTACTATCTATTGTGACCAACCCATTTTTAAGCTTTAGGGTGTGTTTGATACGAATAAAAATATACTTTTTTCAAAAAATGAAAAAAAGAACAACATTTTTCACAAAATTAAGTAAAAGATTTACCTTTTTTTTTTTTTTTTTTTTTTTTTGTGTCAAATACAAATAAAAATATCTATTGTGAATGCACATCTTAAAACTTAGATTAGCGGTAGGAGTTTGGACCCAAACTGCCTATTTAATAACCCTGAAATGATCAAGACTTCTTTGTGGGGTTATTGAAGATTGCAATCACATTTGATCACTCGAGTTCTTTATATCAAATCAATAAATACATGATACACGTCTTCTACATACACTTGCATCACTTACCTCACGCCAATATCGCAGTCAACCATGGTTGAGTTCTTATAGTTAAAGTCCGGGTGCGGAAATGATGCACTCTGAGCAATAAGAAACATGTAAAGCACATCCAGAGACAAATGATCAAATTGTGAACTGGCGTTCCAACCAGCAAGAGATTCATAGAGGAACGATCGATCAAGGTAAAGTACTAGAAGTGCGGAAATTCTAATTAAAAAAGTTCGTTGGCTCGATGGCTACGTTGTTTTTGGTAGCAATAAGTTACTGTAGGCAGGAAAGAAAGGAACATGAAAAGAAAGAACATGGAGATTACTGAAACAGAATTTTGTTTCGATTTCCCATGGTGACCTCAAGTCTTCCGAGGGGGGTTGTCTCTGAACTCTTTCCAGGTCCATGAGCATACACATTGGTTTACTGCATCATGGCACGCGGAAATCGGGGCCTCACTGGTGTTTTTGAGGGACTCACCCTACAACATATAAATAAAGTTGCAAAGTTAGGAAAAGACTAATGGATAGAATGAACTCTCTGAAGCTCCAAGGCTCTGTAGTCCTCAAAATTGTCATAACTGCATGAGGTACAGTATTGAGATAGCTCTTATTAAAAAGTGTTCTGTTTATAGAAATGTAATAACTAGAAGTGCTATTGAATATTGATAACAATTATCTGCATATCGCGATTTCATCATACCTACGTGCATCATTAAACCACTCAGGTTGAAGGTAAACACTATTGAACACAAACAAACTAAAAGAATGTTGTGAGAAAAAGAAAATGAAGTTTTTTCAATTTCAAGTATGTTTGACATTTTAATCATCAGAATTTTACAAAAGTTAGTGATCTTCCATAACTGTAAAAGACAACTCCTGCATTTTCAAGTACTTAGGTGATGAAAGAGGAACTGGATGCATATTCTAGTCGCACCAAGTTAAACATAAGTTATATCCATGTATTTAACGATAACTCAGGTTAATGTCTATTAGCAATTTCTTTTTTCCTGGATAAGCAACAGAAACAATTAAGAGATTTAATAACTACTAACTTCCCATCTCAACTATCGAGAATGCAACACTCTGATCTTTAGGTCGTAATCATTATTTCTCTATTCGACTTTCAGATATCAGAAAGGTAGAAAGAATGGAATGGTGCAATAATAATTTGGAGACAAAAAAAAAAGAAGGAAAATTTTTGGCCGGTCTGGAATGAGTTAAGAGTGCATGATCTGATGTGGTGCCTCCTAGAAAACAACTAAGAGAATTTACCAATCTCAGAAAGATGCAATACTAAACGAACAATGAAATACACTTCGCAGAAAAGAATTAGCGGGGATCAGCTGAGGCCATAGCCATTTGTAAATAAGCTTACCTGATGCGTTGGGATCCCAATACCTCACCGCAACAGTCTAAAGCCAAAATTGCACTCTCAGCCTGCGCAGTTTGCAAACATAAGATTTTTTTCAAATGTCAATCCATATTAAGAGACTGTTCTAAAACGCCAGTAAGCATTCAAAACACATAGTTTCTGAAGTGGCATCAAAATAAAAAATGGGACAAGTAAAGTGGTCCAGAGGGAATATGTGTTTTGCCAAACATACCCCTATTTATTATCCTTAATATTTAGAATGTTAATCGCTCTTCAAAAAATGTTCTCTCATTTAATCTCTCCTCAATAAATAAAAAGATTGTTGGTGTAAATGGTAAGTACCTAAACAGCCTCATTATTGTTAAAAAAATAAATGAAGAGATTGAAATCACAATATTGGAGTATGTACATGCTCTTTACTTACATTTTTTATGCTAATTTAGTCAATGTTTAGTACACTTCCAATCATAATTATTATGAAGGGCAAAATAAGAAGATTGTACTCAATTATATTTTGGTTTTCTAAAATGACAACTATTTTGGACCATCTATTTTTAGTAAGGACGACAAGTAAAGTGGACCGGAAGGGGTAATATATTAAACTTTCCTTTCTTCACTAGCACTCACATGGACAAAAGGGTGGCCAAAGAATAATGCAGGCAAGAAGAGAGGTACATTCAGAGGCAACTAAATGGAAGTTGAGTTATACATCATTCAATAATCACATTACACAAGTAACCAGCAAAAAAAAAAAAAAGAAAAAGGAGAAAGTTGTTGAATCATGACATTTGAATCCATAGGTACATGCAAAACATCTAATCCTCTGACACAAATACAGCATGGGAACAAACACAAAATGCACGTGTGAAGGAATAAAAGGGTAATTAATGCAAAAGGCTAACACATATATTTCCATCAAAGATAAGAAAACATACCATTACAAACTCAACAAAAGCAATGCGGGTCGAGTGCACGTGATCTCCCAAAAGCCTCAGGCGAGAAACCTGCAAAGTAAAAGCGTTGTTCAATAACACTTCTTAAGCCAACATTCAAACTTTTAAACTTCATACTGACCTCGCCACATCTTGTTTCAAAAAAATTCTTGACATCAGCCTGAGTAACCTGTTCAGAATAGAGTAATTGGTTGTGAATAATTATAATAAATGGAAACTACAAGAAATATATTTATTAACAAACAACTGAGTATGAGCCAGAGCATAATAACTACTACAATGCGCATCAGAACAAGCGCCCGACAGAACGATGCATACAAGGAAAGAAAAATTTAATAGATCTCAATGACGAAAATGTCTACCTTCTTATCAATATTTGTACAATAGACTGTCCTGGCACACATCTCACGCTCATCCTCTGACTGCACAAAACATCAACATTGAATTGAGAATAAGCATTTAGATCCATGACCTCAATTCTACAAGGATGAGATAGAATAACATAAAACTATTTCTCAAGATCATCCAAATACTAGCAAAACAAAATGTCAAAGCTCTTTCTTTTTTTTTTTGGACAAAGAACATAGTGCAAAATATTTATCCGTACCCTTGGAAGGAATGTAGGATTCACGGGTAGAATAGCAGTTTTTGAAGGTAGGACCTTCAATTGAGAGAAACCTAAAATTGTCCCACAAAGGCAAAGTGCTGCTCTTGCAGAGTCTGCTAGGATCGATTCCATGTTAGCTTTTGAATATTCAGCTGTCTTAAGAACATTTCAAGCCAAAACATCCAACTTACACTCATCAGCGAACTCCACGAAAGCAAAACGAAGACGGGAATGTGGATCACCACAAATTCGGCAGTCAACGACCTAGAAAGGAAGCAGCAAAAATGAGAAAAGTCATCATTAGTTTTTCTGAGCACGGAGAACATGCTGACAATCTACCTTGAAGAAGAAAAGAGGAAACATTCACATTGAGCATAACAAGTAAACAAGAAAGTAAGCAAATGCAGGCAGCGCTTGAGGTTTAGTCGGTTGATTAACTGATTAGATAAACAAATTTGCTGTAGCTACAAGGCAAACTTTGTAATTTTGAAAGTAAAAGAATTATGACATAAAATTGAGATATTAGGCTGACAAAATAGATATAAACATAATGAACTTTCATTGCAACACATTCACAGTCCCAAGACAAGCAGCTCGATCTATGCCCTCCCACACATTCAGAACTTCATGGCAGATTTTGGTCCCACAATGAATAGTTGAACAGGTGTATGCAAACATAACCGCTCACAAGAAGCGCCATTCGAAATACACCATGAAGCCAGTTGAAATCCATCTTATATGATAAAAGTACAAAGTGCATAATAAAACATTATATCGGTGCCTAAATCACAGACCAAACTGTACACTAGCTCTTAAGTCGGTTGACGCAAGTTAGCATACCACATGAACCAATGACATAAATGTTCTTGATAGGAGGCTATTGGGGATTTTTCTGATCAAATGTTACACGCCTTATATTAAATATTAATTCAAGCCTTAGCCTCACTAAACATCAGGGCAAGATTCCTCCTTTAGAAAAGGCGACAAAGCTTCCTATTTGTTTAAGCCCAATGATATTCTGGAATTAACAAATTTTAAGTGTAACTAATGTTGCTGGCTGCAGAAAGCTATGTACAGTATTGTACACACTACGACCCATGTGATAACTCACCAGAAACCATAGTCATGCAGTAAACCACAACAAATCCCAGCCCCCTCCTTAATATGGTCAGCAACATTCACTGGTAGGTATCTTCAAGCAGATGAGTACACTGGATACGATGAGGAAAAATGAAAACTTATGCACCATTATATAGTGTTTTGCGAATGTCGTATTCTTATTAGGTAAGAAAATTACAAATGTCATTTTCTTCTTATGTCAAATTGTTATCATGAATGCCCTCTTCTTATTGGTTCACATTTAATTGTTTTTCCAATCAGTAAACTGCTAATCAGGTTTAGGTTATCGAATGTATTTCTTGGTCAAGGGTACATGGGGAAAGTCTGCTTGGTAGGTCCTTAGTAAGTCAATTTCATGAGTTTTCTTTAGTTTTTTTTAAAATGTTTTAACTCTCAATATCCTAGAATTCAAGCTATAAAAGTTTCACTGTTGTTCAGAGTAAGCATGCAGGAGTAAGAAAGTTGGCAGCTTTTAAGTACTTATTTTTCAGCTTAATAGAGATATCTATCACATTGAGTTCAATATGTTCATCTTGAAGCTTTTTTGTTTCATTATACTCTAAGCACTTTTACTTTGGAGTCTTTGTTTTCATTGTTTTAATCATCTGTCTCTCTTTATGTTCAAGGCAGGAATTTATGAGTTCATATCTACCATTTGTTGCAATTTTCGTGGATTTTTACATATACTTATACTCTGCGCCGAAAGTACTAGGTTCAGATGAACATGGTATTGGTATGCCACATCCACCTCTGCCAGAATTAATATGTTATTGATATTAACTTATGAAAGATATAATAATTCGTCAATGATATTATCTTAACAGACCAGATAACTAATGCATATATGATGTCATCAATTTCGTTAGCTGGTTATGAAATTATCTGATGGTCAAGAATTATGAGACTCTATAATGCACAATTACGATAAATAAAAATCAAATCAAAGCCAAAAAAGGAAGTAAAACTTATATGGTAATCAGATTCCCAAGCAAAGTATTTTGTTCTGCTAAAGTATGATAGTAAGTAGCACACAAATGTATACTTACGTATCACGCTACCACTCCACAAGCAGATGAGAAAAGGAATTCATTGTTTCTAGTTTAGTTACGCCAATTACTGAAACCATATGCACTTAAGAGCATCAAATATATAATATAGTGAATCACATCAATGTTCAGAAGAAGAAAAGGACTTTTCCAATGAAGTAGTAGAAGAAGAAGAAGAAGAAAGTGACTTACTTGTCCATAAGCACTAAACAAAGCAGCAAGCTGCTCCTCAGTGACCTAGATATTGAGAAGGCAAAACCAAAGATACCATATGAGAACTAATAAGAAAATATCACAAAACATTAGTGAGAATCTATCCTTACATTGTTATCTATCTCAGAAACATATACTGTTCGCCTGATGCTATCTTCTCTTTGAGCCTTATAAGCTCTATTGTTCATTCTCCTTTTGCCCTGGTTAAAGTTGTTGCCTCTCTGTGGAAACACAGAAAAGAAAGTTCAGGGGATACTAAAAGGAAAACAAGAAAATGGATATGGTTGTCCATATTCAAATATTCTGGTTAGCATATAAAATAAGACCAAATTGATCCAGCCAAAGATAAAACTGAAATGTCAAAGGAGATGGTTGTCCATGATTCAACTATTCTAGTTAGCATATAAAATATGACCAAATTGATCCAGGCAAAGATATAACTGAAATGTCAAGTATGTCATTGACAAGTTGATGAGGCTAGGGCCTCATCAACTTGATGTGAACAACGACCAACTCTAACATGAATACATATAAGCATTCCCAATTAGGAAACTACCATTAATCAAAGAGAAGTAAAAATCAAAGAGTAACAATATCACTGGTTGATGTTAGAGATGACAACTTTATGACTCAAACAAACAAAACTGACATTTAAACTAACCAACTAAAACCCGTTAACCCCATACTGATATGAAAAACATAAATATGGCACTGAATGTGATGGAATGCTACAAGCACAGAAGTCAAGTTCCAACAGGATGATGTAAGCTTCATTTTCAGTGGGATGAGTTCACTGTTGTATATTACTTTCTGGTAACTGATTGTGCCAGTTTATTCTAGAACTTTGTTCCCAGATTGACGGATGCAATTTCAAGGTGCCATTAGCTTCCCGCAAGCAATCTCTTTACATGAAAACTGATGCCAATCACAATGCAAAACTTTCTTCCACCCAAATTGGCAGAGAACAGTCGAACTTAGTGAAGAACTATTTAAATTCTTCGCAAGTTAAACAATGAAAGAAAAGTAGCAGCTACTACTAGTGCCTGACTTCACAAAATTGATTTTACTGTCTTCGTAATTTATATACTATGAATGAAAAGGGAAAACATGCATTACTCTAACATATGTTCAGTTAAACATTTCTCCAAACTTGATTACTTCCTTTTTTGTTACAGCTTATTAAACGAACTAACAAAAACTTGGCTACAAGTATAAGAAAACAACAAAATATCCCTTATTTCATCCACATACAGCAAAAAGTTCTATTTATTTATGTATCATCGAAAAACCAAAGCAATTGAAAGGTCCAAATCACACTAGTACGACAAATTTTCACGTCAGGCATTACACCAATTATACTCATCTGCATTTTACCATCTAAGTATCAGTAACAACCATAATTCAATGATCCCATTCAACTAACTGAATGCCAAATTTCCACTTTTAGTGAATGGAATGCCAGGAATCCCCAATTAATAAACCAGGTGTAAAAATCCATTTTTGACCATAAAACCTTCATTTCCTTGATAACTACGAACTCCGGTTAATACATTCAGCAATAATTATATTCCTTTAAATGATCATTACCTAAACAAATTACTGAAAAGCTCCAAAGATCAGTTCTTAACAAGGAAATGTTAAAGTTTCCTTGCTATAATATTTCAGAAATCACAGCAAATTCAACCAAAAGACAAAATGCTTAAAAGGAAAACTTGCACACAAAAAAAACACACACACACAGATTAACACACTAAAAACCAAATACGCATTCCATCACAATTAGTCAAGTATAGCAAAATTACTGCTAATTATTATATCATCAACCGACCCACAATAACAAAACAGCCAAAAGCATCAAAATTTTCAACGATCATACAAAAAAATCAACAATTTTAATGAAAATTAACAAACGAATCTATACCCTTCTGTTATTTTGAAAACCATCAACACCCATAGTCTTGTTAGCTGGTACAAAGTTACTGAGAATCATCTGATCACCACCAGCGGCACGATTATAAGAAGAAGGAAAAAACTCTTTAGCCTGTGGATTCAGCTTAAGTTTCTTCAACATATCAGCAATATCATGCATATGAAACTCCGATTTCGCATTTGCGATTGAATCGGCTGAATCCTTAACACCATTAGATTCAGAATTATTGCTGGTGTTATCAGTGTTTGGTGATGATAAAGACTGAACAGCAGGAGCTTCAACCACTGTTGTCTCACCAGACACTTCTTTAGCACCAGCAGCCATTGATGAAATACTCAAAACCCAGAAAAAATAAAACACACCCAGAACAGAAAAAGCTTCAAAAATACCAAGAAAACACTAAAATTCTACAATTTCAATAAATTAAAGCAACCCCTTTTTATCAATTTGATTATTCTTTATGAAAAATTGATCAAATGGGAATTCACAGAGAGTATAATGGGTTTATTGATAAATACTCATTTAGGAAGAAGGTGATGAGAGAGAAAAGAAGAGAAGAGAGAGAAAGGAAAAGGCAATAGGGTTTTTGTTATATATAGCAACAAAGTTCAATAACAGAAGGCAGAGGAATTTGGTGGTATTCTTGTTTTTGTTTGTAGAGAGAAGTGAAGTTTAGGTGGTGTTGTATGTATTATGTGAAAAAAACAGAGGGAGAAAGAAGGAAATGCAGTAGAGAGAGAAAATTGAGGTGGAAGGTGGAATTATGAAAAAAAATTAATAAAAATATCCTTCGTTTATAGTTTGGTTTGAATTATTATTAATTTATTTTTATTTATTTTGATGATGAAGGAATTGACTCGGTAAATCAAGAAGAGGTGTCTTGATGTATTATTATATTTATGGATGACATAGTTCAGATTGTTGAGACTCGTGGCGAAATAATAGCTAAAGTGAATGTTTGGAGATATATTTCAGAGTCTATAGGGTCCAAAGTTGAGTAATACTGAGGTTGGCGTAATACATGAGGCTGGTGTGGAAGTGAGGTTTGATACATAGGTCATCTGAAAGAGAGATAGTTTCAAGTATTTTAGATTTATTATTCAAGTAAAACGAGAGATTGATAATAATGTCACATACTGTATTGGTGCAGAGTGGGTGAAATGGAGGCTTGTATCCGAGTCTTGTGTGATAAGAAGCAACCATTAAAACTTAAAGTCGAGTTCTACATTATGGTTATAATTAGACCATCTATGTTGTAGGCAGAGTATTAGCCAGTCAAGAACTTTCACGTTCAGAAGATGAAAGTTGCAAAAATGAGGATCTTGAGATGGATGTGTGGAAGTACTAAAACAAACAGGATTACGAATGAAGATATTTGAGACAAGGCAAGAGTTGCTTCAATATATGATAAGATAAAAAAACGAGAATAAAATAGTTCAAATATGAGAGGTTGATCATAACAAAACAAATTGGGCAAACAATTGAAATTGAATGCTATCTCTACAAGTTCATATCAAATACAGCTGCTAATTTTATTATTTTAGGCAACTTCATAATTATAGGTTAAAACTAACAAATATAATATACTTATAACATATACTAGATAGAAAGACTCATTTATTCTTTTTATCATAACATCTATAGATTAGATTACATATAATTTTTATACGTTAAACTTAATTGATAAATATTATGTATTGTGCATTTAATTATCGAACAGTCTTCGAATGACTATTGATTTAATGTGTACATCAAGTGTAATTTTATTTGCGTATTAAAGTAAGATTCTTTTAATGTGTATATTGAGTGTAATTTTATTTTCGTATTAAAGTAAGAAATTGTTGAGGTTTTTTTTATGATACATTACAATTATTATTTTAATTTTATAAAAGTTTCATAAAAAATAATAAGTACTAATAATAATTTAATTAATTAATTTTTTATAAAATTATATTCTAAATTTAAATTGTAAGCAGGCGAGTTGAAAGCAACTAATGTGAAAAGTTTTATAGTTAACTAATTAGCTATTTAAACTCTCATGTTGTTGAATTTCTCCTCTAGAATATAATATAATGTATGGGCTCATGAGAGTACAATAACTTTTTCATAGATTATTATGCATTAAAATACTTATTAAATATTTAACTATACATTCAATTATTATTGTTATATAATATTAATTTAAAATTATTATATAAAAATCATTAATTTTAAAATTTTAAATCCGCCAGTTTTAATCTTTGTTTTTGTCACCTTGTGTAAAACGTGGATATTGCAATTCATATGTTTATCACATGATGTTTGTTGGTATTTTTATAAGATTTGTTTGATTATGATTTTTTTTATTTTTTTATTTTAATTTTAATTTTAAAATCAATGTTTGATTATAAAATTCAAATACAATTTGAAGTTATTTGAAATTTGAAAATACTAAAATCTTTTTCCTTTTCTTTTTCACTTTTACTACATATTTTTTTCAAATTTTATCCTAAAATGTTTATTTTGATAAAAATAACTCTATTTAAATTATATTTCATGTTTCAATTATGTTTTATATTTTTAGGAAGAGTATATTCAAACAATCAAATATTATAACTCCATATTTCAAAATTCAAAATAAAGTAAAATTTTTGTAATAGTATGTACTAGCTCATATATGGAATCTAATCTATAACATTTTGTAATTATTTATTTTGTGAAGATTTGATTGTATAATTCAGTAAATTAGTCGAGTTACAGATTTTGCTAGTTTTTAGAAGTTTGACGTAAAACATATTTAGAAAAGTATATATTTAAAATCTAATTTTTTTTTTTTTATAAAAAGTATGAGCAAACACAATTTCAACTCTAATCTCAATAATTTTAAATATATTTTTTATTTTCATAAAATCAAAGCCTCCTAAATATTTTCCCTATTTTTTTCTATTATAATTTATATTATATTAAAAAAGTTGTTTGTCTTTTCTCTGCGGACAATGGAGTGCGTGATGATGGTGAATATATGATTATTTTATATTGTTCTATCGAATCAAAATCGATAAGTTGAATCGAAAAAAATTATTAAGTTATTGATAATGAATTATTGATTTAGTCGTTTTGATAATAATTTTGATTTTTAAATTATTAGGTTATCCGTTCTTAACTGTTTGAGATTTTTTCTCAACGGATTAACCAATAGTGAATTAAATAATTATATTTATAACATTTGGTATATAAAGTCCTTGACGTAGAATTAATTTCATACTTTCATTTATGTCTATCTCAAACTTTCAGTTATTCTATAATGTGACAGTGTTTGTTTTTGAGCAAGATGTAATCTATCAACTTATATACATGGTTCATTTGGTTTGTCACCTTGTCTCCGAATGATTTTTCATGATTCATATATATATTTATATAGGAGGGAGGTGTTATATTTTAGGGGAATTGTTGGTGGGGAAAATGAAAGTGATTGTACGTACTATTATAATGGTTCTTCTTGTGACAGCAGTGGTGCATTCACTATTCCTTTTTCTAGATTCTTTCAATTTTTATAGATATTTTATTTTAAACACCAATATTTAATTTCTGATCATTTTTAAAAAGATTTTTTTTACAGATATCCATTTGATTTCGAAATATTATTAAATATATAATGTTTGAGAAGTTCAAAGAAAAATGATTAAATTAAAATTTAGATATACAACTTCATGTTAAATGATTGATTCAACTTTTTTCATTTTACTCAAAAGTCTCATCATTACATGTATAATAGTTCTCTTTCTGTTTGTTTTCATAAAATTTTGTACTCCTTTTCTTTAAAAAATATAAAGTATTAAAAAAAATTAATGTTAAAAAGTATTTAATATCAACGAAGACATTTAGTCTTATATTGACATCAAATAAATATATTAAATTACTTCAGAATATTCCCATAGGAATTAGAATAAAAAGTTGGTCATAAATTGAAAGGAACATTATGGTTGTTAAGTATCTCTATATAAAAATTCTGACAGTCAAATAAGTCACAATTTAGGGTGAAATTATAATATTGCAAGTTTGAAATTAATCATAAGAGAATATTTTTGACCAATTGAGTAATTTCAATATACATATTAAGATTATTATTATTTTAAAAAAAAGTTGCCACTCAAAATTGTTCCACTTCGATTTCTACTTTCCTTAACCGAGAACGAGTTTTTTCGAGTTGTGCAATAGCACTTCCATGCTAGGCAACCTGATATAACATTGTTTTAATTGGTATTTTTTATTTCGCCCCTATTTTCTATATATAGGGATAAAATTAAAAGTTAATAGTCAAAAATACAATTAAAATATTCTGATTTTTTTTTAGTTTTTATACTGAACTACTAGGTGTGAGTTTGAACTATGATCAACTATTTATCAAAGCATATATCAATGATCAATTGTTTCCTTTTCTTATCTGAAATATCATTGTCGTTCATATGAAAAAAAGTGAACAATTGATAGTTGAGATATATTTTAATTATAGTTGATGATAGTTCAATCACACCTAATAATTTAAATAGATAACTCCAAAAAACAAAATAATTTTTGTATGTTTTGACTCTTCATCCTAAAATTAAAGTTATGAGATCACATGATTTTCCTAAATTATACTATTACTAGTTAGTTTTGATTTAATACTCTAATGTACAATTTTTGAGGAAAAGTAGCTACATTTCTTTCATATGACATCATGGAAAGATAATTGGCACAAAATAATATAAAATCCTCTAATGAGGCCAAAATGTCTAAATTTCATGTCATCTAGGCTAATAGGCACGTTTTCCAAAGTCATAACATTTCTAGATCAAGGAGGAGGAAGTCAAGATACTTTTTTCTTAATTAAAAGTTCAAAAGGTTTTTTTTCTTTTTCTAGTTAGACAAATTAATTTTGTTTTATACGTTCAATATTAAATAAAAAATAATTTGAATAACTTGTTGCTTGATCTTGAGTTACTATTACCTTTTTACTATCACAAAAACGTCCATTGGATGGTTGTGACGTATTGTTTCATAATATATTGTATTGAATTATATTGTTTCATACTATATTGTTCAAATAAATACAATCTATGGATAAATCGTATTGTTCTCCGCCGTTACATAATGTCATATATCCATAATTTGAATGATAAACCTACAAAAAAAGTAGGGTATATACAAGGTAGAACTACTATGAAAAATTAAGGTAAATAATAAAAGAGAATTATTAAATATAAATAAAGATAAAATGAAAAGAATATTAAGGTAATCAATTGCACCAAATCGATCATTACATAAAATAGGTCATTTCATTGTTACCTAACAATGAATTTAAACAATATTACAATAGAATACACCGGGTAACAACTATCCAAACAAGGTGATAAGAGTAAAACAAAAGAAAAAACTAACTAATTTATGAGAATTTTACACAAATCTCATAGTGTTAAGAGTTAATTACATCTTATCCCAACTCTTTTCCAAAGTACAAAAATTTCTTAAATTTGGTGGAATCCGGATACATCTCAAAATGTTCCGATACATCGCGTCCCAATTTCGGATACATTCCTCAACGTCTCGATACATTGCGTCTGGGTTCAAATACATCACTCAACGTCCCGATACATCGCGTAAAGAGATGTATCCAGCTGATACATCACGTAAAGTGATGTATCAGAGAATAAGAGAGGGTAGGGTGTTTTGTATTTTTTTCAAATAATAGGTATGATAAAATAAGTTGTGTATTTAGGTAACTTTTCC